CAAAGGGTCCTCCTCTACCGGAGCAGATAGTATTCCCGTCTTTGCTCTACTAACTGTTGGTCACCTAATATACAAACCTATAGCCCATATTTTCAACCTGTCTATCAAAGAAGCATCAGTTCCTCTATAATGGAAACATTCCTATGTTCGTCCACTTCACAAAGGGGGCCCTAAAGATGATCCAAATAACTATCTCAATTTTGTCCCCGTTGATTACATTTTTTTTAAAATTATTGAACTACCAAAATTAGCAGTTTCCTGTCTGCCAACAATCTATTACATCTAAAACAATCTGGGTTCCGAAAAAAATACAGCACCACATCTGCTGCATTTGACTCTCTGAATCACATTTACAGTAGCCTTGATAATAAGCAGTACTGCGCCTATCTTTTTCTTGACTTGTCCAAAGCTTTTGATACAGTAGACCACAACATCCTGCTTAGTAAAATAAGTTGCCTCGGTTTTTCCGAAAACACAGTAAAATGGTAAAAAAATTTACCTCTTTTCTCGCACCCAAACTGTATTCAAAGATGTTTGGAGGTCAAACAGTGTTAAGATAACAAATGGGGTTCCACATGGTTCCATTCTCGGCCCCCTCTTGTTCTCTCTTTATGTAAATGACTTGGGCACTGAACTTGATCATTCCAGGGTAGGTTTTTTTTGCAGATGACACGGTACTGATTACTGCTGGCCACTCTCCGGATGACGTGATTGCTAAGCTCCAGAGTGATTTCAACAAACTACAACATCAGCTAGTTGCTCTTAAACTAGTCATAAATCCTGCCAAAACCAAGGTGCTATGCTTCTCATCAGGACTAAAGCAGGAAGTTATTTCCCCCAAATTACATTCCTTAAATAATGATCAAATAGAGCAAGTCAAGATCTATAAGTATCTTGGGTTATCTTGGGGTCATCCTGGATTCAAAACTGAATTTTGAAGATCACATTGACTATATTGGGAAAAAGACAAAAATTAAAAATGGTTTTCTGTATCGACACAAGCACTGCTTCCCCCCTATGTTCCGTTTGGAATTGATAAAAGCTACCATACTGTCTCTACTTTATTACTGTGACATCGTGTATAAATCAGCCCCAAGTACTGTACTGAAGAAGCTTGACTCAATGTATCACTCGGCCTTAAGATTTGCATTGAACTGCCCATATAGGACTCACCACTGTGATCTCTACAATGGGTCAAACTTAACATCTCTGATTGTTCGACGGCTTGTGCACCAGATCTTATTTATTCATGATGTACTTACAAAAAAATCCGCAGATTACCTGCTGGATCTCCTCTCTGTTTCAAAGAACAAATTTGACCTAAGGTCTACACTCATTTACCAGTTTCATATTGCCTATTGCCGTACATATACTGGAGGAAGGGCCTTTGCTATTGATGTCCCCAGGGTCTGGAATGCTGTTGCCAATAAATTGCTGCCAGTGCTATTCAGTGGCCTAAAATAAAATGTTTTCGTTCCAGATGATCGCTGCACAGTATGACCTGTGTTTTGATTTAGTGTGCTGATCTTAAAGGTGCATTGAAAAATTATAATACTCCGATTGATGCTCCTGCTGTTGTGGAGTGACTCATGCAGCCAGCTATGGCTGCAGGGTTTTGGTAGTACATATTGTTTATGTCATTTATTGTGAAAATTCCGTCACAGTTCCTATTATCACTGTTAATTGCTTTCATGGCTTTATTTTGGTGATTTCGAAAAGTGTATTGGTTTAGCCATGTTTGTTTGTTGTAGTACGGAGTAAGATTGATGGCATTAATCTAAGTTGTCTTGTGGTTGTTGTTGCTTGACTTGCATCCCACTGGGATTTTTGCACACAGCGTTGGTGTACGTTTTTTTTCTTTAATATTTTGCTGTCTTTTCTTGTATTTTCTGTTTGCACTTAGTCACATATTCACTTTAAGATGTTTTCTTGTTCATGTTTTTTGTTTATTGCGGTTGCACCCGATTCAAGAGCCGAATGGCTCACAGGGCTATACCTAATATATGAACTTGAACTACCCCAACCCCTATCACTACCCCAGCCCCTATCACTAACCCAACAACCATCAACCCTAACCCCTATCATTACCCGAACCCTTATCACTACCCCATCACTACACCAAACCCTATCACTTACACAACCCCTATCACTACCCAAACCCCTATCACTATCGCGTCCCCATCCCCTATCACTACGATTATCACTCCCTAAACCCCTATCACTACCCTTATTACTTCTTCGTGATATTTTTATTCACTTTTTTATCCACGAGACTTTACCGAAAGAACCAAAAGAACATGAATTCCTGCATTCACGAAAGTTTCAAGTCGAAATAATACAGGTTGTTTTGGATTAGATCGCGTAAATATAAATGTGTTGTTAAAGCCGCCACCACCCGAAACAGCCAATTAGTACGGTTTGTCATGTAAGCCATTCTGACCGGCGCCTGATGAGGCTGGTTTGTAATTAGCGCCCAAACGTCGTATACAAATTATAAATGTTGTGGGTTTACTCTCCAACACACTGGCATGCTGAACTAGTAACTTGTTGAAATGTTTTGTTTACATGACAAAACATTCCAACTATGTACTATTTGGTTTTGTCAGCAGGTGGTTGGTTAACGACAAATTTATATTTACTCAATTTAACTCAAAAAACCTCTATGGATGTACATGTATTTATTGCATTTTTATATAAACCCTTGTTTTTGTTGTGTTCTTTGCTCATTACAGAGACTGATAACCTCATAGAATTAAACGACGATCACACAAACTTACAGTGCCCAGTATGTAAGCTCATATATGTTGACCCTGTATCATTAAGTTGCAATCACATAGCTTGCCGGATATGTATAGAGGTTCACTGGGAATTGGAAGTGAAGGAGAGGACATACACATGCCCAATTTGCAATGAGACATATAACTGGAAACCAGACTTGACGAACAATGTAGAGGTATCTCAGCGAGCAGAGGAGCTCAGAAGACATGAGGTATCTCAGCGAGCAGAGGAAGAGGAGCACAGAAGACAAAACAATGGCAACGAGCATGTGGAAGAAGACAATGAAAAGGTGAGTTGGCAATGTCTCATTGTTTTATATGCTCCAGATATTCGCTTGATGGATATAGATTTTGTTTCTGAAGGGAACACATGATATACAGTAAGGGAAAAAAAAATTTGATCCCCTGCTGATTTTGTACGTTTGCCCACTGACAAAGAAATTATCAGTCTATAATTTCATGGTAGGTTTATTTGAACAGTGAGAGACAGAATAACAACAACAAAATCCAGAAAAACGCATACTCATCCACAACCCATTTTCAATTCCCTGGCTGAGGGATGGAGGTTCTCACCCAAGATTTGACGGTACATGGCCCCGTCCATCGTTCCTTTGATGCGGTGAAGTTGTCCTGTCCCCTTAGCAGAAAAACACCCCTAAAGCATAATGTTTCCACCTCCATGTTTGATGGTGGGGATGGTGTTCTTGGGGTCATAGGCAGCATTCCTCCTCCTCCAAGCATAGCGAGTTGAGTTGATGCCAAAGAGCTCCATTTTAGTCTCATCTGACCACAACACTTTCATCCAGTTGTCCTCTGAATCATCCAGATGTTCATTGGCAAACTTCAGACGGGCATGTATATGTGCTTTCTTGAGTAGGGGGACCTTGCGGGCGCTGCAGGATTTCAGTCCTTCATGGCGTAGTGTGTTACCAACTGTTTTCTTGGTGACTATGGTCCCAGCTGCCTTGAGATCATTGACAAGATCCTCCTCACTGTTCTCATGATCATTGCAACTCCACGAGGTGAGATCTTGCATGGAGCCCCAGGCTGAGGAAGATTTACAGTTATTTTGTATTTCTTCCATTTGCAAATAATCGCACCAACTGTTGTCACCTTCTCACCAAGCTGCTTGGAGATGGTCTTGTAGCCCATTTCAGCCTTGTGTAGATCTACAATCTTGTCCCTGACATCCTTGGGGGGCTCTTTGGTCTCGGCCATGGTGGAGAGTTTGGAATCTGATTGATTGATTTCTTCTGTGAACAGGTGTCTTTTATACAGGTAACAAGCTGAGATTAGGAGCACTCCCTTTAAGAGTGTGGTCCTAATCTCAGCTCGTTACCTGTATAAAAAAAACACCTGGAAGCCAGAAACCTTTCTGATTGAGAGGGGGTCAAATACTTATTTCCCTCATTAAACTGCGAATCAATTTATAACATTTTAAAATGCGTTTTTCTGAAATTTTGTTGTTATTCTGTCTCTCACTGTTCAAATAAACCTACCATTGAAATTATAGACTGATCATTTCTTAGTGGACAAACATACAAAATCAGCAGGGGATCAAATACTTTTTTCCCTCACTGTAATTCTTTCATCTAGTGACAAAATCTGGAAAGGAAGAAAATGTGCACACGACATAGGGGGAGGGGGTAGAGGAGGAAGAGGGGGAGGAGAGCGAGGGGAGGAGACGTAGGAGGAGTCGTGGTCAGAGGCCTCGTGAGTGCATCTGATTGACCAATATTGTAGGGACTTAGGAATCTTATCTTATCTTTACAATAACACAATTATGGATAAGATGATAGTAGTTAAAATAAAGAGTGGGGCTATTCATAGTGGTGGTGTAGTTATTGTGAGTGGAGGACAAGTGGGAGTGGTCAAGGAGGGGTTGGGTTAGTGATAGGGGTCGTGATAGAGGTTGCTGTCGTGATAAAGGAAGTGATAGGGGTTGGGGTAGTGATAGAAGTCGTGATAGGGGTTGGCGTAAGCCTGGTCGTAGCTGTGGGGCGAGGGTAGGGATTAGCTGTAGGATGAGTTAGGAGAGAATATATGGGGTTGAATTATAAAAATAAAATTATGTTCAGTGAGAGTTTGTTTTAGAGAAGGGAGGTCGCTTGAGAGCTCTGCCGTGAGGAACCCTAGAGCTCCATACAGGAAGTTATAACTTCTATTCCATCAAGTGAAATTGTATGCAACTTGTTTAATATTCTTTTTTTCGCAGGCTGAACGTACAGTGGCAATTGCGGAAATCAACACTGTGTTTAACAAATGGAAAAAAAAGAGAATTGAGATAATCAAATTCATGCGAGGAATTGTATGTCTACTCAAAGAAAGGCAACAAAATGTAAACATCGCTAGAGCATCTGGAACATCTGCCGGTGTTGCCGGTGGAATAATGTCCATTGTCGGCTTTGCTTTGATTCCCGTTACCTTCGGAGCATCTCTAGGTCTCATAATAGCCGGAACTACTATGGGAGTAGCCGGAGCATTGACCAACACTGGAGCATCAATAATGTTGACAGTGAAGAACAAAACTACGGCACAAGACGTTCAAAGGGCGATGGATGAAGATAAGAAACTGAGCAAAGAACTGTTTGAAGCGATGCAACATTTGCGAGAATTTTCTGCTATTGATCTAGATGCTGCAGAGAGTGTTCTACCGACAATGGCTAGGAGCGCAACGCAGATCGCCTTTAGCGTACTTGGCACAGTCGATGATATCGCTGCCGGGTTGACCAAAGGAGTTGCCGTGTCCGCATTACGGATAACGGGGATAGTTTTTACTAGCGCATTTCTTGCAGTGGACATCGCCACGTTGGTGAGCGTGGGAGTTGATATTGCCAAAGGGAATCCAACAAAAGTCGGAAAAAATTTCGAAATTATAGCGAATGACCTTAAAATCGGACTAATTAGAATGATCAAACAAAATGATGAGCTGAACTCAATAAATACAACTAATGAACAAGATAATGGCAACAATAGCGACACATCTTAAAATCTTATTTACGAGCACGGGTTTTAAACTGGTATATAAACATTTATTTATGTTGGAAATGCAGAAACGTCTAACGCCCCATACAATCCCAGGCCATTTAAAAGAACAAGAAGGGATATGACATCAGCCATACTTTCGGCCAATTTCATTAGAAGGGAGAGATGAAAGGGCACGTGGAGGTAGTAGAGTGATATGAGAGGTGAGAGGAAGGCAGGTATTTTTATTTATTTAAATTCGGTAAGGCCCACTGAGCTATTAAGTTATTTTTCAGAAGCGACTTGGCCACAAGTAATAGCTCGCCAAAATGTATAGCAGCCAAATAACCTAAACGCATGTTTCTAAACGTGGAGGGAAAAACCAGAGGACCCGGAGAAAAATACACGCGCCCACGAGGAAAACATGCAAATTCCAAATATACAGGTGTCAGGGTCTCGATCGAACCCACGATTACCTATGTACCGGGTGAGGTTAACATCTCGCCAACGTGGCACCCAGGTACTAGGAAACAAGATACCGAGTGTAATCTTTGCATTCATCCAGGATTACATTGGCAGCCAGTGGAGTGATTAGATATTGAGGTGATGTGTCAATTAGAATCCACCTTAATCATTATTATTCATTAATAGTACATGTTTTTGGGTTAGATCGCGTAAGTATAAGTCTAACGAAATATTTAAATCATGTAAAAAAAACGCTACAATTAAATGGCTACAATAATGTTCATATTAACAGAGCAGTTAATGTCAAACCAAGATCGAACAGCAATACTGCTGAAAGCAATACATTTATTACAATAAAATACCATATACTGTGGGAGAAACTGACAAACTAGTTAGAGTTGTGGAAAAACAAAAAATAAGAGAAAGATTTGGCACAGTACACAAAATTCAAAAACTAGCATATTGTACTAAAGATGAATTGCCTAAGTTAGCAACAGAAGGTGCTTATGTGGCAGATGTGATATTGGACAGACGGGACATAACATTCACATAAGACTTAAAGAATATCAAAGAAATAATACATTTCCTCAAACACAACTTTCGGCAGTTGCAGAACATTCTTGCCAATAAGGACACTCAGTTGATTTGGATAAGGTTGAAGTGTTTTGTAAAACGAATTATTACTGGCCGAGACTAATTTGAGAAACTATTGAAATTGAGAGAAATACAAATCATTTTAACCGTTCTCACAGTTACAATCTTAGTGCAGTCTAGAAGCGTATTATTAAGTAATAAATTTTACAACTGTATTCCTTATAGAGAAAACACATGCTAATTAACTGATCAATAATCTATTATATAATTATAATAAACCCCCTCCTCCGCCTCTGATATCTGCACTTGTTGGGTTCAGTGATGACGTCACCTTGCTATATTTAAGACCGGAAGCAGGTGGATTGCTTCACTATTCTGGCAAATCGCCCGATGATGCTGGATGTAATTGCCAGCGAAACGGCGTACTCAAATTGTAAATGTGGATTTACTCTCTAACATACCGGTGGGCTGAAGTAGTAACTAAGTGGTGCGCTGTTTACATAACAAACCTTTCTGGCTGTGTTGGGTGGTGGAGGGTTATGACACATTTATACTTACACATTTTAACCCAAAAACCTTTATGAATGTTGGTCACGAACACCAACGTGTTAAACATTATTCATAGTTTAATGTAGGGTATGATTCGTAAAGGGCGCTTCCTGTTAAGATGTTACACCGTGTATCATAGGACGGTTCAACGCAAATTCTTGTGATCTATATTGGAAGTGGTTCCCAAAATGTAGCTTGCCATGTATCCTTTTTCCAGACCTATATTATCTCTATATTCCCCTCAACCAGCATATATAGTGAAATATGGAACATTTTCTTTTATTTTTAATGCAGGCAGACCTCGCTTAGTGCTTGAGATACGTTAATAAATAATTAAGCACTCATCGAATGTGTGCTAAAAGGGGTCATTACACCCAATGCATATATGGGGATGCGTTCTTGACAGCGTTATTTTTTGTTCAGCCTATATGAGGGCTTCATTTGGTTATGTGTAATAGTGCTAATAATAGAAATGGTAAACATTGATAAATAAATATCAATAACATCAGTCAATATCATGCAATGTACTCACGGGTTCATTCGGCTGTACTCCTCCAACAAGGCAGCAGTGGGGCAGCTGCTGCACTCCCAATCTGGGTCACTCTCAGAGAAGAGCTCCGGGACCTCCGTGGTCTTAGTGATACCCTCTGTCTACACTTCTGTGGTGAGTCTTCTTGGTTCTTTCGGTAAAGTCACGTAGAAGGAAGTAATACAATAATAAAAATAAAACATAATAAAATAATTCTCACGACGTTTCAGCCACAACACAAGCAGCCGTCCTCAGGTGAAGACCAGGTATGTCGAGGCGACAGCGACGGCTGCTTGTGTTGTGGCCGAAACGTCGTGATAATTATTTTATTATGTTTTATTTTTATTATTTTATTACTTCCGTTCGACGTGACTTTACCGAAAGAACCAAGAAGATGAATCCCTGCAGTCACGAAAGCTTTAAATCGAAAAATTCTGTGGTGAGATTATACTGGTAGGAATCTCCTGGTTACACCAGCCCACAGGGGATTATTGTGTCCGTCTGTCGTGCAGGGAGGGGCTGGGTGGAAAGGGAGGGGCTGGGTGGAGGGGAGGGTGTTAGGGGCTGGGTGGGGAGGTTGCGGAGGGTGGAGCTGGGTGGGGAGGGGAGGGTGGGGAGCGGCTGGGTGGGGAGGGTGGGGAGGGGCTTGGTGGGGAGAGTGGGGAGGGGCTGGGTGGGGAGGGTGGGGCTGGGTGGGGGTGGGAGTGGTGGGGCTGGGTGGGGAGGGGCTGGTTACCCCGTGGTGCCCTTATAACGCCCCTCAACGTTTAACCTACTCACGCCGGCTTGTGCCTGCCCTCACAGTCGGGCATATTTGCGGAATACACCACGCCGTCGTTGACCCTGGCCATTGACCAAGCAACCCAACGTTCCTACCAGCTCCCTCCGCAGGAATGTGTTTTTTCAGTGGAGCCTGAGACTCAAGCCTGGTCTGACGAGTTCTGAACTGGCTAAACACATTGTACTATAATAACATTGAAAACATATTTAAATGTAACCGTGACTATGATTCGTGATTATCAAATCGCAGGGGGTGGGGTCTGCTTGGCTCAAGAGCATACATTCTCATTGTATGTATATTGAACTTATTTCGCACCTTACGTAGCTAACCGAGGTGTGGGTGAGGACAACAAACTGTACAGAAAGAGCAGTGCTCAAGAAATTCGTTTGTCAATAAAGATGACTTAAAAGTACATAGCTCCAGTGGCTTCCCGATTTCGGAAGGAGGAGCGTTCCAACGGGCAATAATCGAGCCTTGGCGACACCATGTTACTTTGGCTATGCCACGAATGACAGGGACGGGGTACGATTTCCTTGGCCAGCGCTGCTACGTATGTATTCTCACTAAAAAAAAGTACTTAAAAAAGTGCGTTTTAGATTTTGTAATTTTTTCGAGTGGGTGTCATTACAATCACACGTAATGAATACCAAACACTTGTAGATACTCCATAACAACGAACATAATAGCTACAGTTTAATATTTACACTTTTTTTAATTATCGTCATGAAACTGGCAGGGGGAGGTTGAGGTTCATTAACTGGATAAGACATTTTCTAAATAGCTTGAATGCATTTTTGCATATATGTAAGAATTATATTGATAAACGAGAGAAAGAACAGAACACTAGGAAGACCGGTATGTTAGATCAACCCCAAATCACTTGTTAATTAGAATCGCCATATGTCAGGTCTCAATCACAGGATTTCTGTCAATCCCAAGACCTTAGATGACTAATAGTTGTCAGAAGAATTTGCATAGTCAAGACTGCTTTTGAAAACGTTAAAGAGGTTGTAGCAACTCGGAAAGTAAACAGAAGTGCGGATTAATCTATTGAATGCTGCAGTGTGGAGTGTCGTGGATATGCCAGTGAAACATGATTCATGCTGATGTGATTAATACAAAGATGGAGCCATGCTGAGCACGTATTACTGAACATATAAAAAGGGTCCAAGCTGAAGATATGACAAAGATGATTGGCGATTGGGAAAGATGGAAAACGTCTGTCAAATGCAACAACGCTCAGTTATGAGTATCATGTTGTGATGTATTTTTATTATGTGATTTCTTTAACACGGTGTAATTTCCGGGTTTGTTTAACTGCCAGTGTTGCTGCTGCTCACTGTCAATTACTCATGGACACTTGCAAACACACACTTTAATCTCATGTGGGATTTCCTGGTTGTATATCTTCCATAATAAACGCAGACAAATACACGCATGGATGTGTTCGTGTTTCATTTTACATGGGCTGCCAATTATGCGATCTCAATTGTAAAAAAAAAATGTTAACACCTTTATGGGACTATCGTTTTGAATGGAAAACGAACGGACAATACACTTGCTGTGTAGTGTAGAATGACGCGAAGACGGAACTTCTTGTAAGGGCTTACGCCGGTTGATTAACAAGGGTACACACACTGACACCAGAGGTAGGTGTCCGCTACAATTGGTCCTTCCCGTGGACCCCAGGCTCTACTCTCGTCATAACCTCGGCTTTCCCCTTGGATGATCTCACTCGAATCTCCCTTAAGTATCTCTTTGGGCGGCTCCTCCCCCTTTCTCTGACCCGCCCCCGTTCTCAATATCTGCCTACGGCGCTCATGACATGACGTCATCACGCCTCACAGTGCTCATGACGTCACGTCATCACACTACATCACTCCCCCCGTAAAAAAAAAATCAGCCATCCCGGCTGTCAATTATACTAAAGCAGCTCCGCATCGGACTCGATGCATAAGATATCAAGATATACACACACACAGCGACTAACACACACACATAGACGGACACACAAACATAGATTGACACACACACTTGGACTTACACACGCACATCGACGTACACACACACATTGACTTACACACACACATAGACCCACACACACACATCGACTTACACACATATATTGACTCACACAAACACATGGACTTACAATCACACGTACATTGACCCATTCAAACATCGACTTGCACACAACAACTGCCATTCGCCACTAAGTGGCAGTGACGTCGCCACGAAGTTTGTGCCAGGCTATGTGCACCTTGAGGTCACGTGAAGTGTCGAACGCCCGCTGGCAGGAGGTCACGGGGCAGATCCAGGTGCCACGGGTCGACTGACTGAGAAGACTGGTTGTGCCAACTTGCTGTGCTTAAGCTACCCGGCGCTCTGCTCGTTGTTGTGAGCGTCGCTCCTCCGCCCTCCATTGTTTCCCTGATCCACTCAGGATGATTTTTCCCTGATCCGCTCAGGAGCCCCCTTATCCAGGACATAGCCATTGTGGAACACCTCTGTGATAGCAACAGCCCACTGATTTGGGAGCGGCCAAGCCATAGGCCAGCGTGATAAATACTCAACGCCCACAAGTAAGTATTTACTTCTACGCGCAAGACACCTGGATGGACTGCAGCGGAGGACAACAGGATCTCGCTGGCGGCTTCCGCTGGGCACATTGCACGCAGCCTTTCAGTAGATCCTCAACGTCGGAGGCCATGGCCGGCCAATAAAAATCCAAATTAAACACGGCCAGCGTCTTCTGCACTCCGAGGTGCAACAGCCATTTATGCACAGCCCACACAACCTCGTCCCGCAGGGCTGTAGGGACAACAATAGCATAACGGCGCAATCCTCCATCTCAAAACATGAGTAACCCTCTCTGCAGCACAAACGAGTAAACATCTCATGGTGCCGTACCTGCAGTGGTCTCCCTGACATGCCGGGGCAACTTAAGGAGGGACGAATCCTCTGCTTGTCGACGTCCCCATACCTCATAGTCCAGACCCAAAGTTGCATCACGCGCAACGAGGACATCGCCCATCCCCCCCCATCACGCAGGGGAAGGGGAGGTGGAGCCGCACGGACGACAATGACTCGAACCAGAACCCTTACGACACGTGACATTGAATGAAAAATCCTGCAAGATTTCAAGCCAGCGCGACAAATGACCAGATTGCTGGTCCATACGCAATGTGTACTGGAGAGCCCCGTGATCTGAGCGCATTTCAAAGTGCCCCGATATTGCTGCACATGCACGAAAATAGCCAACAGCTCCCAGCATGTAACGCAGTACCGCTGCTCTGCCGGGGACAGCACCCTGCTGCCATATTCAACCAGGTGCTCCACGCCATTTACGACTTGGGATAACATGGCACCAATGCCGGTATTACTGGCGTCCGTATCCATAATGAATGGCAACAAAAAGTCGGGATAACGCAGGGGAGGGGTATTAACAAGCCCATCGTGAATGAAGCAGAACGCAGCCTCCTTCACGTCCACCCAATGGCCCTTAGCCGTCAGGGCGTGGAGAAGCTTAGCTATGGATGCGAACCCCAAACAAATCGGCGATAATAAGAGGCGAAGCCGATAAAACTGTGCACCTCGCTAGCCGAGGTGGGGGTTGGCCACGTCTGAACGCAAGCAATTTTTAAGGGGTCCGTTGTGATACCTGATTCACTGACTGTGTGGCCCAAGTAACGAACATATTTTTTGAGTAGATGACATTGTTGGGGCTTGAACTTCAAGTCGGCTGCACGCATCTTGACGAAAACAGCCCGCAGGCGATCCAAATGCTTAACAAACGTGCGGCCAAAACGATGACGTCATCCAAGTAGATTAGGCATGAATCCCACTGGAGGCCCGCCAAAACCAATTCCATGAGCCTTTGAAAAGTGGCAGGCTCGGAATGGAGCCCCATCGGAAGCCGGTTAAACTCGAACAGCCCTTGGGGTGTCCGACAAGCTGTCTTGGGCCTTGAGGCATCGTCAAGCGGCAACTTGCAAAACCTCGACAAAAGGTCGAGGGTTGAAAAGAAAAGCCAGCCCGCTAGAGCATCCAACAAATCGTCCACGCGAGGCAGGGGGTAGGCATCTGCGACCAAAACTTTGTTAAGTTTTCGGAAATCGACACAGAAACGCAGACTACTATCATGCTTCTAAACAAGGATTATTGGAGCACCCCATGGACTAGTGGACAGCGAAATGATATCCGCAGCCAACATTTCATCCACTGCCGTACGAACATGGTCCTTTTCAGCCGGACTCAGGTGGTAAGGATTCTGCCAAATAGGGGCGGCATTTCCTGTGTCAATATGGTGGCTCAACAGAGATGTCCGACCGATATCAAATTTTTACTTACTAA